CACTTGTTCCTAGTAGCTTCTTGTTACTACTAGTAAGGCACCTGTAATTACTAGTAAGGCACTTGTTCCTAGTAGCTTCTTGTTACTACTAGTAAGGCACTTGTTACTACTAGCGTGGCACTTGTTTCTGAATAGTTTGGGGTAGTTCTCACTCTAAAGTGAATGTAATGGGGTGATGCCTGCACCAAGAACTTGACAGCAACTGTCCAGCAAGCAATTATACAGCAAACATCTGCAGTCAAAAACGACTCTACGTGAGCGACCAAGAGACTGGACCAAAAGAGTTGACTGGAAGCCCGGTTTGCGGTTGGCGTGCGGTTGGGTTCTCCCCATGACAGGTGAAGAAAACGAATGAAGTGACAGGCATGTCGGCGTGCGCGGTCTGTCGCGTGTCGGTCAGATGAACTTTTGCGCCCCGATCCCAGGCCCCGCGCCTTGCACTCACGAAAGAAAGAAAAACAAGCTGATCCACACATCCTACACGAATTCAAGAAAGAACAAGTCTTTGGTACTCTGAAACAGGGTCCTTGCTGATGTACTTGTCAATTGAAATACCTTTGGACAAGGACCTTCGGTCGCCTCTTTTCCAAGCCTTCCGATCATGTGGAGGGAATACAATGGGCACAGGCGCCAGCCTCGCGCAAAAACGAAAACACCGCACACCGTAGTCATGGCACCGGAGAACCGGAGGTCAACCAAGGGGTGCCGGGTGCGGGTTTGGACCGACGGCCATCTCTTATAAACTTTAGACTCTAGACAGAAAGTCATGGAGGGATTGGTTTTCAATGGTTTTCATGAACTCTTGATGTTACCAGATGAGTTTGACTCACTATGTTGACCCCCCCTTCTTGGGCCGAGTAGGGAACCATCCGGTCACGCCCTGAAAAGACTTCGCCTGAGAAAGGTCGGGTCTGGAACCCACCAGAAGAATGTGACATTGAGTTCGCTGGGAATGGACGTGAAGTCACTCCATGCTTTCGCCGCCGCCCATGCGATGGGCATGTGGAAGAAGGTCGCCTGGAACCCGAGCGAACCGGAGGCTCCACAGAGGGGGTGTGAAAAACACGTGTGTTTCTTGCACGCAGATCTTCCCGGAAGAAATCGATTTCCGAATTCTAGAAAAGCATTTCTCAAGGTCGACCATACTAGCAATGGCCTCCAACCTACTAGCGAAGGCCTCCAACCTACTATTGCGATGGCCTCCAACCTACTAGCGATGGCCTCCAACCTACTAGCGATGGCCACCAACCTACTAGCGATGGCCTCCAACCTAGAAGCGATGGCCTCCAACCTACTGGCGATGGCCTCCAACCTACTAGCGATGGCCTCCAACCTACTAGCGATGGCCACCAACCTACTAGCCATGGCCTCCAACCTAGAAGCGATGGCCTCCAACCTACTGGCGATGGCCCGATGGCCTCCAACCTATACTAGCGATAGCCTCCATCAACCTAGAAGCGATGGCCTCCAACCTACTAGCGATGGCCTCCAACCCTAGCGATGGCCTCCAACCTAGAAGCGATGGCCTCCAACCTACGAGCGATGGCCTCCAACCTACGAGCGATGGCCTCCAACTTACTACGAGCGATGATGGCCTCCAACCTAGAATCGGAAGCCATGGCCTCCAACCTACTAGCGACGGCCTCCAACCTAGAAGCGATGGCCTCCAACCTACGAGCGATGGCCTCCAACCTACGAGCGATGACGGCCTCCAACCTAGAATCGGAAGCGATGGCCTCCAACCTACTAGCGATGGCCTCCAGCCCTAGCGATGGCCTCCAACCTACGAGCGATGGCCTCCAACCTACGAGCGATGGCCTCCAACCTACGAGCGATGATGGCCTCCAACCTACGAGCGA